CTAGAGTGGTGCGGCCATCGTAAGATGTCTGTACGACTTTAGCTGGCGTTGTACAGTTAGCTGTAGTTCCACGGTAGTCGCTGTGTACAGTCGTAGGTGGGCTGCCGGCAGCTGGAACTTGGGAAGCTCGGGGATGCTTCCGCTTCTTGCCTTTTGTCTACAGTGTTCTCTGGAGGTTGCCATTCCTGCCTGCATGCCCGTTGAATTTGTGGCTCACTGGCACACCTGCAGGGCACTGTTTTGCGACACTTGGTCCAGTGGGACTCGCGTGCAACAGCTTTGCCTCGTTACTTTCGGGTGACGGGGCAAGGCTTCCGTAGGCAGGTAGTCTCCTCTGTAGATCAGTGTTTTAGGTCTGTTTTCCACTTAGCCTTGGAGCTGCGACTGTCTGCTCGCTCGGGAAGAAAATTCCTTTTGGCTCAAGCTGTGGCGGTTCAAACTGGCGAGTGGACGCTTGTTGCCGACGTGGCACCCAGGTTTGAGTCCGTATCTAGACTGTGGGTCTCGACAGGTCTCAAACATCAACCACACGTTTGCTCGTAGGCTGCCTGTGCAGCGCGGGACGCGTGGGGCGGGGTAGCGGCAGTTCCAGGTTTTACCTGAAGTGCGTAGCTGAGCCATTTGCACCGAACCACTGCTTGAAACAGCTTGCAAACTCTTCTTGCACCTTGTGAACCAATCCTTGTTTTTGTGCAGAAATTTGGATTTTGGGCCTTGCAAAATTGCCCGTTTACTTGTTGCAAAAGTACAGTTGGGGAGTTTTTCTTGCAGGCTTCTTGAAAGGAGGCCATCGCAGAGCGCGCAGGCCCACACAGGGAAGTGATGCCAGTCAAGATGTCCAGGCATTACACCGTCTGTGGCTGCGGATCGTGGGTGTGGACGGATCGGATTGGCCCTCACAGGCCATGTTGCCAGCAGTGTGGCAAACGCTGGCCACAGAAAGGACCAAAGCAGGGAACGACGCAGGATCCGCAATGGGGTCCGTCTGTGAGAGTGTGGAGGTCTCCCGCTGCTGCACAGCAGCCCGAGTCCAAGACGCCGAGACCCCCGCGCCAGAACCAAGCGCAGAGGGCATTGACAACCATCTGGGAATCCTTGCCTGAGCACGCGCGCCAGCAGATTGAGGAGGCGGGGTGGAGACCTAAGATCCCTCAGCCCCCGCCAGGCCTATTCAGGCAAACCAAAGGAGGTGCAGGCAAAGGCAAGGGTGCAGTTGGAACAGCGGAAGTCCGGGATGAGGCTGCTCAGGCTGAGGCTGCTCGGTCCCTGTTTGCCTCGGTGAGCGAAGAGCAGCGTGAGCTTCTATGTAAGCTTGGCATCCAAGAGCCCGAGGTGCAGCCTCCGGACCTTGCTTCATTGTGTAAGCAACACATCCGTGCCTTGCCAGCTGACATCCAGAAGCTGCTGGAAGACCCTCCTGAGCGGCCACCCACGCCTCAGGAGGTCATGAGCGAAACAAGCAAAAAATTTAAAATTGCCACTGCAGAATTGAGAGACCTTATTTTCCGCAAAGCTGCCTTGCAAGTGCGTCTTGATAAGCATAAAGAGCTGTACTCCACCATGTTGTCAGACATGAAGTCCATCAATGAATCCTTGGAGGAGCGACAAAAGCTGGTGGCTACATTGCAAGGGGAATTGCAATCCTCGGTTGCTGGGGTCCCGGCCCCTGAGGCTTTGCCTGAGGCAGCAGAGGCTCTTGCCAAGCAGGTTGAGGCCATGGATGTTGATCAGCTTGACGACTACCGGCAGCGCCTTGTTGAAGCCATTGATGAAGCTGTAAAGCGCAGGCGCGTGGATGCACCGGCGCAGAAGGCAGCGCCGACAAGCCCTCCTCCAGCTGGGCCAAGCCAGCAGGAGGCCGCTAAGGAGGATGACAGGGAGAAGGGCAAAACCAGGTCCCGCAGCAGGGGCCGCAGTGCGCAGCAGGGTTAGGGGTCGGGGATTAGGGTTCTTGACTTCGGCGTTTCTCGGGTTGTTTCTTCGCTTTTCGGTCATAGCCGTACTTGCCTTGTTGGTGGATGCAGCGTGGAGCCAGCTCAGGAGTCAGGTCGAGGCGAGGCTCTTGAATCCCAGCCTCTGGAAAAGCTTTTGGTTGCTTGCACCTTGCAGTCGGATCAGTCCGTTGTGCGGCCACCTCAGCTCTGCCCAGTGCTTATGTTCAGCCAAGCAGAGTGTTGCCCCATCTGTGCTGTCACGCTGTGCCGAGAGCAGCCTTGTCCAAAGTTCCAGGAGTTCCAGTTTGATGCTAGTTGTGGGTCGGTGTGTGCATTGTGCCTCCGGGCGTCAGGCCGCGTGCGCAGTGGCGTATGGATACCGGCCGAGCGCAGTCGTGGGTGCGCAGGCCAGCCAGAGCCCTCTGTGGTGCAGGGGTGGTTTGTTGGGGTTTCGGAGATGGGATTGGGAGCGTTAGAAGGGGCGTTGCAGTTTGCATGTCAGGATTTGTGTTGTGCATGCTGCCACGTGCCCCTAACGAGACAATCTTCCTTGACTGAGCTTTCCTTGCCACCTTTGTGCCAGCAGTGTTTCCCGCGAGGTGGCACCACCTGTAGGCTGCAAAAACGTGCCTTTCTTGATCCTTATGTGCTTTCAGGTCAACCTGTGCACAGGTTGTTAGAATACCGAGTGCAGGCAAGTGGGTGCCGCGTCAGGCTGGTTTCGAGCAATGCTTGTTTAACGGCCGACTCGGGACCCTTTTGGCAGAGCTTGAGCAAAGATTTTGACAGGGTTTTAATTCCGAGCCCTAACCTGTGCGCTTTTCCCAGAGCTGAGGGCCCGAACCCCAATTTGCAGTTGCCAGGCCTGTGTGAGGTCGATTTGGGCAGCAGGTTGGATGCGAGTTCTGACCCGAACATGGGGATTGCCTTGGATGAGGGCTGGGACCTCAGCTCCTCGAGGGGGTGTGAGATTTCCTCAATCACCCGTGGCCTCGAGCGGGAGACAACCACGAGTGAGGTTTCATTTCCTTGCCCGAAACCGTGTGCTTCCCCTCCACCTGAGGGCCCTAACCCCAATTTCTGTTCGGCTGGGAGTTTGCCGGAGTCTTTATCAGCTGATGGCCAACTTGATCAATTTTCTCCAATACAGCCCCTGGGTCTACAGGGAGCCCCCAGGACCCCCATGGCGGTGGAGGTCTTTACCAGGAGAGGGAGTCTTCATCAGGAGGTGGGGGGGCCGCTGGCCCGGGGTCCTGGGGGACCGAATGTGATGCCAAGCAATGATGGCTGTCTTGTATTTATCCCCAGCCCTGACCCGTATGCTCTCCCTCTTGCTGAGGGCCCTAACCCACCAGTGCGCCGGACCCTTGATTATCAACTTCCGACCAGCTCTATCCGAGATCGGTGTGTGTCAATGAAGAGTTGGATCACTGCATCTTCGGAGCCTGTGTGGCATGTTTGCAAGCCCAAGTGCGGGCTCAATTCCCTCCCGAACCCGTGCGCATCCCCTCCTTCTGAGGTCCCTAACCCCAATTTGACCAGCGAGGCCCTGCAGGAGCAACTCAGAGGTCTTGAGGCGGATGGTTGGTGCATTGGATGTGGCCAATCACCGGTCTTAGGGCGTAGTTCGAACCAGGAGGTTAAAAATTTTGTGCAGGCATGCTGCCACGTTCACTTGAATGCGCCTTGTGACGAAATCCTCACTGCTCTGTCTGATGTCTTGAACTACTGCCCGAGGTGCTTATGCAAGTGGGAGGCCAAGGTCCAAACAACGTGCAAGCAGCCCAAGGATCTGGTAGCCTTGTCGGGTCCTTCATACTTTTTTGATTGCGCTGAGGCCCCGGAGCCTGATGAACTTACTGATGTCACCAGTGTGCCGCTACATGCTCAGGTTCTGCAAACACATGTTGGGGCTGTTTCCTGTAATATATTGCAGGGCAAAATTCCAGCTTCGCGCCGGACCCGGCGCCGGTACAACCGAAGGCTCCGTCTAAACCCCGATGTGCGCCCTGTTGGCAGCATTCGGGCAACCTGCCAATCTGCTTTGCATTCCTCCTCAAATGGCCATTTTGGCCTTACTGTAGACCCTCCCGAACCCATTCTTCCTGCCCTCTGTGTGGCAGGGTCTACAGTCATAAATCACTTTTTGGGGTTAGGGATGCAACCCGATGTGCGCCCCGGTGGCTGCACTCGGGAACGTGCAAACTGTGGCGATTCGCGTGATGCCATTAGCACCACGACCTTCAAAAGCTCCAGCAAACATTCACTTTGGAATGACGTCAAAATTGGCCTTGCAAATGCTGATGAGCCGGCCGTTTTGGAGGCGATCTCCCGGTTGGAAGACACAGGCTTGCTGCAACAGCAAACTTTCGAATGGAACGCCGCCGAACTGGTCATGGATTCACTTCATGGAGAATGTGGCCCAGCGGCACAATGGGCCGTGGAGGACGTTTTGGCAAACCTGCAGTGCCGCCCCAGCAGGCAACCGGTTCGCATCACATGTCTTAATGTCACCAAATGGCGTAAAGAGCTGGCTAGTTGGATTGCGAATTTAAGCCCGGACCTCGCCCTCCTTCAAGAGACCCACCTTGATGCTAAAGATGTCAGCCTTCTTGCTGCCCATGCTGGGATGTTCGGGTATGAGGTCTTTCAGTGCCCGGCTGTGGCCACGGGCAAAGGGGGCAACACCGGGGGATTGGCAATCTTGCACCGGAGACACAAGTCACTAGCCACCTCGTTGAAGGTAATGGTTACCAAGCCGCCATGTTCAGGGTAAAAGGCTTTGATCTTTACGTTGTCAACGTGTACTTGAAATCAGGCGAGGGATTCCAGAGCAGCACCAATGCCGGCATCATTGCATCGCTTCTTTCCTTTGTCCGATCCGTCAGAGGTGCCTTTGCGATTTTGGGTGACTTTAATGAGGACTTTGAAACCCTAAGCTCCACCCATATTGGGGAGGAGGCGCGTGCGGTGTGGGTCGGACCAGGCACGTCCACCTGTTCTGGCGGAGGCCAAATTGATTTTGGTTTAATTTCGAATAGCCTGGCAACTTGTGCTGCGGTGCAGCTGGACTGGAACACCCCGTCAAGGCCGCATGCAGCTTTGCATTGGCAGCTTGATGTTGCCCTGTTGCATCAAAAAATGCCGCAACTCAAGGGTTTCAAGCCTGCGCAGCTCGATTCACAGCCTTTTCAGCTAAGCACCGTCAGGCCAGAGGTCACCATCTTAGATGAGCAGGTTACCGACGAATTGACACTTGATTTTGCGGCTTTAAGCTGTGCTGTTGAAATGTCCGTTTATGGCCAGGCTCAGGGAAGAGGAGCCAACATTCTTTTGCATCGCGCGCCATTGCCTGTGCAGGGCGCTCCCAATGCTGGTTGGGGAGGTAAGGCTTCGGCTTTCTGGTGCAGATTCTTAGGTTGGATCAAAGCTGTGCGCAACTCGGGTTGGCATGTGAGTGGTTTCGGGCAGCAAGCAGGAGACCAGCTCAAAGATGTATGGTATGGTGATGCGACCTCCTTACAGGATTTTGCCAGCGCGCTTGCAAATGCCAGTCAACAATGCGACCCTGCGGCTCTCCTTGCATTGGAACCTGTAGCCACCGCGCAACACAGGCATCACACCGAGGCTTTTAAGCAGGCTAACACTAAACAATACACCAAGTGGCTGAGTGCTGCCTTGGTAAAAGGTATGAAGCCTTTGTACAAATGCCTCAAAAGTACGGAATCCCCTTGTGATAGACCCTTTCGAAATCTTTCATTGCAAGATAGAGTGTACCAAAGATGGAAGCAGTGGCACGACATTTGGTGCCAGCCGGTCACTACGGACCCGCATTTGTTGGCAGAGGTCAAAGCCAGAGCTATCGATCAAGCCAAGCATTTGCCGCCCATAAATTTTGAGAAGGCTGTAAAACTTTTCAAAAAGTTTCCAGCGAAGGCTCCTGGGGCCGACGGCTGGACAGCACAGATGCTAAACAACTTGAGCGAAGAGGCAGTCCGGGCTGTTATTGATTTCATGCACGCTTGCGAGGCTAGTGCAGAGTGGCCAGCACAGTTTGCCATTTCCTTGATAGCCTGCCTGCCCAAAAACACACTCCGCGAGAGGCCAATAGCCTTGCTCCATGTGCTTTACCGCTCATATGTGCGCCTCCGTTTCTCCTTGATAAACCAGTGGCAGCAGGAGTATGCTAATCAATGCCAATGGGACCGCTCCCTGCCGGGAGGAGCCGTACTGGACGTCGCATTGGGGAGACTGGTCCGGGGGGAGTGTACTCGGCACAACCGGTTACACATGGTAACGCTCTTTTTAGATTTAGAGACCTTCTTCGATCGTTGCCGGTTCGATGAAATGTTCCGAACGGGACTCAAGTTGGGCTACCCGCCCATCATATTACACCAGGCCTATCTGGTTTACAGTGGAGCCAGATATCTACAGGCCGAAGGCACGGTCGCACCGGTCATCAAGGCCAATACCGGACTCCTGCCAGGATGCCCTGCGGCACCCTCAATAGCGAAACTCATCATGCCTGATGTTGCGGCTGAGCTTAGTGTCAAACCAGGAACGTCCAACTTGGATGTTTGGATAGATGATCTTAGTCTTGATACGGTTACCGCAGCTCCCAAGCAAACTGCTAGCATTGCTTTGCGCTTGTTTCGAGGTCTTCGCAGTTCCCTGGAGTCCAGGGGTGCACAAGTTGCCATCAGCAAAACTTCCTTTGTTGCCACGTCGTCTGAGGCTTGCAAGGCCTTGAAGGCAATATGCCAACCGGATGATCCGGCCATTAAAAATTTCGCCCGCGACCTAGGGGTCACTTCCGGGGGCACTAGAAGACGGCTGTTAGGTTTAGCGGCAACCAGACAGGCCAAGGCACAAGCCCGTAATAAAAAACTTTGTAGTCTCAGGGTGCCCTTTGTGTCTCATAAGATTAGGGTGGTCAAAGCGTCAATCATGTCAGCGGGCCTCTGGGGCCACCAGGCCCTTGGGGTGAGCCCCAAGCGGCGCAAGTACTACCGCGCCATTTGCAGCAAATATGCTGGTCGACAAAAACTAGGATCGGTTGATCTGACTTTTGCCTTGAATCCTGCCAAGTGCGAAGACCCGACTTTCACCATCATGCGGCAGCATATTAGGGCTGTTTTCCGTGTCTTTAAAAAGTGGCATCGTGAGGATGGGCAAAAATTCGCCAGCACTTGGAAAAGCATATGGAATCACTTGTCCAAAGCAAAAGACCCTTGGAAGAGAGTCACCGGACCAATTGCTGCCACCCAAGCGTATTTGATTGAGTTGGGAGTGGAATGCTCACAGGTGCATCTGTGGCGGCATGCCAAAGGTAACCTTCAACTCGACTGGACCAATTCTGATGTCATCCGCAGCGGCTGGGAGTGGGTGCATAAATTACTGCTACACCAGCAAGGGCTTCGCATTGCCCAGCAAGAGGGTTGTGGTTCGCTCGATCAGGGCACTGACTTCACTGTCCACCGCAAGTTGTTGAAGCGCAAACATGTTCAGAGAGCTACCCTTAGCAATTTGCATGCGGTATGGCAAGGAGCGATGGTTTCCTCAGCCAAGCCAGGTTGGTGCACGCTGTGCCAGTGTCCGCTTTCTTTGCAACATAATCTTTGGGAATGTCCGTTCATTTGCAAGCAGTTTGATGCCGAGGAGTTTTCCGAATTGAAATCCCAGTACCCTTGGCCTTCATTGTGGTTGAGAGGCCTGCCTCCCCTTAGTGAAGTGCGGCATCCCAAACCTGCGAGTGAGCAATGCGGCTTGCAAGTCACGGGACTATGGTCGACCCAGAGTACTTTGGAAGGCAGTCGATATGTTTTTGCTTGTGATGCTTCTGGAGGACCAGGCGGCTCGGATCAAAGGCTCCTCGTAACGACTTGGTCCATAGGAGCCTATGCCTTGGTTGATGGGCAACCAAAGAGGGTTGCGAGTGCCACGTGCTTGGAGGCGGAGCCCCTGACAGTGCCTCAGGCCGAACAGCGAGCTCTTTTTGAGTTGATGCATCGTGTCACTGGCGACTTTGATGCCACAACTGATTGCAAAAGTGTCAAGCAAATCTTGTGCAAGGCCAACCCACCGCAGGAAGGTGTTGTGCCATGGGGCACGATATGGCACGAGCGCAGTCGCATCCGCTTGCATTGGGTTTCTTCACATAAAAGTGCAGCTTACTTTGAAAAGCAGGGCTGGGAGCAGTGGAGGCGCCTCATCAACGAGGACGTCGACAAACTCTGCGGGGAAAGGGCTTCTCAGCATTTCTCGATCGCGCATGCGAAGTGGCTGAAGAAATGTGATTCCGTGGTGGAACAAGTCTGCTACTCCTTAGCGCGACGTGCTGGATTCATCATTCGGCAGAGAAAGAGCCCGGATTTCCCGTGGATTTTGAATAGGGGTGCTACTGATACTGCCCCTAAGCCCCTGGTTGTCCCTAACGCCGCCTTTGTTAAGCCCAGTCCTGCCAAACCCAAAAATGCAAAAAATCCGAAGTCCAAGAAGGGGGTTTCTGGTGATAAACCTGGTCCTGGCCCAAAAACTGGTAAGCCCTTGAACAAAAAACAACGCATGTTAGAAAAGTTGGCAATGCCTGAAGATCCTCTGGGTCACCAGTGGGTCAAAGGCGCTGAAGGACCTACCAACTTGACAATGAAATGCACCAAATGTGGACTGTACGTTCAGCAAATAGCTGACCCGGCAAGCTTCGACCGTCTCATGACACACCACTGCATTGGTGGTGGTGAGATTTTGAGCGAGTGGGGCATTCATGCAACACACAGTATGGTCAACATGGGTGTGCAGTGGTCTTGTTCCAAATGTGGGAGGCTGCAGCGCCCACAGTCGGCCGTTGGAGCGAAGCAGTTGCAGAAACCTTGTGATGGGAGAGCGGCTGTAAGCCAAATCGGTAAAGTGGCTCAAGGAGTGGGCAGCTCAACTTTGGATCAGTCGGGCCCTGCGGTGCCGAAAACTAAAGCTGCTACTCCTTTTGGGTCCATGCGTGACGCTGCTGTAACTCCTGAGGGACCAAAGCAGGCCACTTTAAGCTTTGGGCAACCGGCTGTGGTTGTGACGCCAAAAAATGCTTGCAAACCCAAAGCCAAACCAAAACAAGCACAACTGACTTTCTCTTGAAAGCCGTGCAGGGCTGGTGTGCTGCTTTTGCGCCCTACGAGGCTGCATTAGCGCTACAGTGCCTTGCATGGTGGTCCGTTCAGTGCGGCCAAGAGTGCAAACTAAATTGGTGAGCCTTCGTCCTTAAGCCTTGAAGGTGCTTGTGGCGCTATGCCTACTCACCAGACGTCTTAAGACACGCAGACTTCATTTCATGGACAAGGCAGGTCGGTGGTGTGGGCACTTGGCGTGCTCATGCGACCACCCGCTGCGCTGTGTACAGTTGGCGGTAGGCGGTAGGATATAGCTGTATATAGTGTACAAAGGCTGCTGTGGTAGTCTCCCAGGCTATGCTGCTTTCGCTTGACGACGAAACTCACCTTCAACTGAGGCCCAACTGTGAGGGCCCACTGTGCTTTGAGGGGCACGTGTGGTGGCTTGTGTGCATGATCCGTTGAATACGTCACTCCCACCACTGCCTCAGCTCCGTGGTCCAGCCTGGCTGGCTTGCGTGCAACAGCAAGACTTCACGGCCTTAGGGCTATGAAGTTTTGCTTCCGTAGCTAGGCTGTCAGATCCGTAGCTCTACTGGTAGCTTTGCTTAGCTTGTACAGTCTTGGCCTAGGAGCCGCGCTACCTCTTCGAGTGCTCGGAAAGAAAATTCCTTTTGACCTTGGATGTCCTGATGTTTTCGGCATGCCTGAAGCTGTGAGGAGTGCTTTTGAGTTAGGGAGTGACTGCACGTTCGTTTCGTCTCGTTTCGTTAGTGCTTGAAGTGTTTTGCTTGGAGACAGACAGCTGCAAGGTGTTTCACTGTCAGTCAGAGCCCGACGCGACTCCGCTTTGGCTCAAGAAAAAGACCGAGTGCTGCGCGCTCTGTTTTTCACACGAGTGGGAAAAATGCTATTTCTACTGGAAAATGTGCGCTGCGCCACAGCGGGAGACACAGAACAGAACGGTTTTAAGCGTTTTACAGTAGCGCGGCGCGCAATCATAACGTGCTTTAGGCGCGTTATGATCATTTTCGCTCGCAATTTCCAAGGAAACGTCAAAATCGCAACGTGCTTCGTGCATCAAACAAAGCTTTTTAGTCTTTTTTTGTGGCGCGCGAAGCACGTTACGATTTCGAGTTTTCCCTTGCAAATGCCAGCCAAATCAATCGTAACGCGCCTAAAGCACGTTACGATTGCGCCCCGCGCTACTGGAAAATGCCCGATTTCGCTATCACACAAGCCTGGAACTGTGGAAACAGTGCGATTTCTACGCAAGATGCTGCGAGCAGAGCTGGACCTGTGAAAAATACTGCAACTTTGATGGACGATGTACTAAAGAATACCACAATTTCGCTGTCAAACATGCCTGGAAAGCGAGCCGGGACCGCCGTGCAGATTGTTTTTGGGCTCTGAGGCAAATAAACCGGAAGTGAAAGCATTAGACGTGTTTCTGCGTGGTTTTACCCAAGACTGAGACCAAGAGACCTTCCGTGTGGGCTCCGAGGCTTACAAACCGGAAAGGAAAGCATCAGACGTGTTTCTGCATGGTCTTCGCCCAAAGAAATGGGACCAAGAGACCTTTCTGGTAAGCTCCGAGGCTTACAAACCGGAAGTGAAAGCATCGGACGTGTTTCTGTGTGGTCTTCACCCAAAATGGGACCAAGAGACCTTTACGGTGGGCTCTAAGGCATAGAAGCCGGAAGTGAAAACATCATCAGACGTTTCTCTGTGCGGTCTTCACACTAAAGTGACACCAAGAAACCTTCGACTTTGTCTTCGCGCAATGTCGGAAATATTGCGCAAGGGACTGCGGGGGATGCACGGTTGGAGTGAGTGTGTGAGGGAGTTTGGGAGTCAAGAAGTGGTTTGGGTGAGCGTGTGAGTGAATGCGCAAGTCACGGAGTGTCTAATGTTGTCTCCTGATTATTAAACCCCCCTCAACCCCAATAATAACGGAGGGTCCGCCTCTCTGATCTTTAGTTGTTTGGGGGACCGGGGTCGAAGTTGTTTGGGACCCGGGGCTCTCAGTAGTACTCAGTAGTAGCACAGTAGTACAGTAGTACTGTCTCCTTTATCTTGCCTGTTTCTGTCTTTCCTCTTCCAGGGCGTCACTTTGTAGTAGGAGTGCTTCTCTGCCTAAACCTTATAAAAATTTTACACCGGGACGGGTTTTAGGACTATTGAGGGGTGTTTATTATTACGTGCAGGCCGAGTTTAGCTCTATTGAGGGGACCTTTTATTATTGAGTTCCGGGCCGAGTTTAGCTCTATTGAGGGGTCCTTTAAAAATCACGAGCTCACATTATCTGCGATTGCTGCAATATGAGATTTGAGACCAGTTCTCTGCAACCGCCCCCCAGTGCAAACATAACGTGCGCGCGGCCGTTCAACGTGTAGACATGTAGAAGTTTCTTGGACTTCGGCTATCTTGCTTCCGAGGGCCGTGACGCACTTTCAGAACTTTCAGTCTCTTTCTTTCCTTCAACATTGAAGGGCGTCCAGCACGTTACGATCTTCAGTTTCCCGTTGAAACTTTCGGAGTTTCGGATGGCTGAATGAGTGGCAGCCGCACAGCTCCGCAGTGTACGGAAAGCCCTGACGAAAGCACGTGCAAGAGCTTTGGTCGGACACTCCCTGTTGTCCTTTGGAGTTGGCGTTGTCTGGCATGGTTATCCTTTGAGGTGCCATGCCGCCGAAAGCGAAGGCTAAAGCCAAAGGCCAAAGGAGCATGCCTGGCATGCTTCCCATTGAGCCGGGATGTGTCCCCTGTTTTGGGGTCCGAAAACTGGGTATGGTTTGGAGTCCGTGGGGGGTGGCCTCCCTAGTTGCAGCTGCGATTGGTTAGACAGTTAGACTACATGTAGCGGGTTTTCAATTTCACCGTTGAAATCGAATGTGTGTTCAAGAGAAGCAGGAATTGGGTGCTTCACCTTGGAGTTGTCCAGGTGCATCTTGCGAATGACTGGTGGACGGTATTTCTCAACCTGCGTCAGATTTTGTGACTCCAAGAACGAGCTTGAGAGTGGTTTTCCGGCACCAAAATGCGGGCCCAAAAATGGGCCCGTTTTCTAAGCCTTCCTTAATTGTGCCAATACTAGAAGGCTCCAGAAACGGGCCCGAATTCCGGGGCCCATTTTTGGGCCCCGCTTTTTTACACTTTCTGAACACAGTTTGTGACAAAATGCCAGCAAGCAAGTATTGCTGTGAAGGCTACAATCTTTCACAGTTTCGCTTTCTTTTTTACGCAGTCAACATGACAGCTTGAGCTGCTGCAGGTTTCAGAGACAACGACAACAACGCTGTTGTGCAGCTATGCAATTGAGCAAGCGAAGCATGATAATCCGGCACTGGGGAGGCCCACTTTGAAAGGCGCCGTTTTTGAGCAGGTTTTGGGTCCCAAAAGTGGCCCCGAAGCTTTTGCTGGTGAACCAATTTTTTTATGCCGTGTTTGCGACAGTTGTCAAGCCAGGCGGTGCTTGCCGAGCACGCCAGCAGTCCGGCTTTGGGGCTCTCGACATTTCGCAGCAGGGTCCAGAGTGCTGCCCACATTGTGTTGTTTATCGCAAATTCGGTTTCTCCGAACAATAGAACCACCAGGCGAGTGGGAAAAATGCTATTTCTACTGGAAAATGTGCGCTGCGCCACAGCGGGAGACACAGAACAGAACGGTTTTAAGCGTTTTACAGTAGCGCGGCGCGCAATCATAACGTGCTTTAGGCGCGTTATGATCATTTTCGCTGGCAATTTCCAAGGAAACGTCAAAATCGTAACGTGCTTCGTGCGTCAAACAAAGCTCTTTAGTCTTTTTTTGTGGCGCGCGAAGCACGTTACGATTTCGAGTTTTCCCTTGCAAATGCCAGCCAAATCAATCGTAACGCGCCTAAAGCACGTTACGATTGCGCCCCGCGCTACTGGAAAATGCCCGATTTCGCTATCACACAAGCCTGGAACTGTGGAAACAGTGCGATTTCTACGCAAGATGCTGCGAGAGCAGGGCTGGACCTGTGAAAAATACTGCAACTTTGATGGACGATGTGCTAAAGAATACCACAATTTCGCTGTCAAACATGCCTGGGACCAGAAGCGAGCCGGGACCGCCGTGCAGATTGTTTTTGGGCTCCGAGGCAAATAAACCGGAAGTGAAAGCATCAGACGTGTTTCTGTGTGGTTTTCACCCAAGACTGAGACCAAGAGACCTTCCGTGTGGGCTCCGAGGCTTACAAACCGGAAAGGAAAGCATCAGACGTGTTTCTGCATGGTCTTCGCCCCAAAAAATGGGACCAAGAGACCTTTCTGGTAAGCTCCGAGGCTTACAAACCGGAAGTGAAAGCATCGGACGTGTTTCTGTGTGGTCTTCACCCAAAATGGGACCAAGAGACCTTTACGGTGGGCTCTAAGGCATAGAAGCCGGAAGTGAAAACATCATCAGACGTTTCTCTGTGCGGTCTTCACACTAAAGTGACACCAAGAAACCTTCGACTTTGTCTTCGCGCAATGTCGGAAATATTGCGCAAGGGACTGCGGGGGATGCACGGTTGGAGTGAGTGTGTGAGGGAGTTTGGGAGTCAAGAAGTGGTTTGGGTGAGCGTGTGAGTGAATGCGCAAGTCACGGAGTGTCTAATGTTGTCTCCTGATTATTAAACCCCCCCCTCAACCCCAATAATAACGGAGGGTCCGCCTCTCTGATCTTTAGTTGTTTGGGGGACCGGGGTCGAAGTTGTTTGGGACCCGGGGCTCTCAGTAGTAGTACAGTAGTACAGTAGTACAGTACAGTAGTAGTACAGTAGTACAGTAGTACTGTCTCCTTTATCTTGCCTGTTTCTGTCTTTCCTCTTCCAGGGCGTCACTTTGTAGTAGGAGTGCTTCTCTGCCTAAACCTTATAAAAATTTTACACCTGGACGGGTTTTAGGACTATTGAGGGGTGTTTATTATTACGTGCAGGCCGAGTTTAGCTCTATTGAGGGGACCTTTTATTATTGAGTTCCGGGCCGAGTTTAGCTCTATTGAGGGGTCCTTTAAAAATCACGAGCTCACATTATCTGCGATTGCTGCAATATGAGATTTGAGACCAGTTCTCTGCAACCGC